AAGTGGCCATGCCCGGTCATATCTGCTTCAATCAGCTTAGTTTATACGATCTGTTTTTAACGTTGAGTCTTGTCGTCAATAATCCGAATTCTATGATTCAATAACTGACGAATATTGTATCTGTGAATTTTTAAAACTTCACATAATCTTAATTTTAGTGTTTGGTAAAAGTTGTATTTAGATATTATACGCGTTTCGTATATAATGCTGATCACGGTACGCGTGATATGTACGGATAGATACATATAGATAGGGCCGATCTGTGGAATGGATGCTTAATAAGTTACGTTTCGCGTTGCTTATAATCATTTTTCTCGAAATCTTTTATAACGTTTGCTTTTAGTTATTGTTGGTAAGTTGTATTACCATTTAAAAAGCATATCTAATTTTATTTTCACTTCTACTGACTATTCTTTCATTTTTCTGAGTAATGCATCGTAAGATAGCTTTTATATTGTTGTTGTAGTAGCGATTGCCTTTGTACGTCATCTGTAGGTAAATATCTGTTACATTTATCTCTCTTTCGTTACTTATATGTCTTTAATGTTTCCAAATATTTCATTGTTTTCTTTTTTTTTTGTTAATGATATTTTTTTTCTTTTTCTTAATGTTTTATATTTTTAATATCTTGTTTTTCAAAAAGGTATGTGTGTTACGTTAATGTATACCATTTTTTGATTGACTTAATGAAAAGTTTCGGTGTTTATATGTTTGTATAGAATTTTTTGACAAATTATAACTATAAAAAATATATAAATTTACATAAAATATAATTTTATTAGATAAAAGATATTATATTTAAATAATAAAAATCAAATATTTATAAAATTTAAAATTTTCTTAATACTGTAAATTATATAAACAAATACAGAAAATTTTATAATTATTATATTTAAAATAAATTACATACATAGTGTTAAAATATATAATATATTAATCAATATTAAAAATTAAAATCAAATTATAAATTTATATTATTTGTATTAATTATTGGTTTTGCTAAAAAAAAAATATATGTATCATGCTTATTATATAGTTTACATTATTTTAAAGAATTTTATACATTTTTATATTCCTGCAGAACTTGAAACAATTATCAATGATGCTGTTTTATTAAGGTCATGACAACAATTTGTTATGTGCTTTCTATAAATTATATTTGTGGTAAGTAATAATTAATATCTTATCATTATTATAAACTTTTATTTAAATGCTTAATATTTACTATTAAACAAAATTAATATAAAAATATTTTATTTTATATATTTTAAAAATAAAGAAATAATTATAGTTGATTTATAAATTATATCATATATTTATCTGATTTATTATTTATTTTACATATTTTTTTATCAAATTTCAATTTTGTTTACATTAATTAAAATTTAAAATAATAAATCAATAAAATATATAAAATATTATGTGTAGATTATTGTGGTTTTGGATAAATCATTCATTTCTTGGTCAAAACATTATAAAGAATTTCATACAATTATGGAATCAAATGATAGGAAAAATGTTTACCTTGCAAAAACGGGTGATAATTCTTTGAATTCTGGAATGAGAGACACAATGATTGTTGGTCAGACAAATATGACACAAGGTGAAAAATTTATTTAATATATTTGAAAACTTTCATTAAATATTCATATAAATAATATAAGCATAAAATTATAAAATATTAATCAAAAAACATATAATTATCTTATAAATATATTGATTAATTGTTTAATTATTAGAATGTGGTGAACCTGTAATGAAACCTGGAAATGTATCTAGTGTTTCAAATAATCAAGCAAAGTGGTCTAATACACAAAGTAAAAATTTTATAATTAATGCAGTTCCAGTAAAAAATGAAGTAAATATTATAAAATAATATTGATAATAATTTATATAATGTACATTTAAAATAAAATACATATTAATGAAATTATATTTTTAGATTGTTCATCTTGAAGATGGAGCACATTGCAATAAGAAAATGTATTATTATGATAGACATTATACTGGCCATGAAGAAACAGAGAGACCAACACGTAGAGGAACAAAAAGATATAGAGATAAAGATGCACCTAAAAGAGCATTGTATGTTGTATTTGTATATTGATTAATATTTTGATAGTTTAATATTTGTTTATAAATTTTTAGATCTGCCTTTTTCTATTTTTGCCAAGAGTTACGTGGGAAAATGAGAGAATTACATCCAGAAATGGGAGTAGGTGACATTGCCAAAGAATTGGGTAAATTATGGATGAGTACAGACCTTCAAACTAAATCAAAGTATATGGCAATAGCAGAAGAAGATAGAGCCAGATATGAAAGAGTAAATAATTTATTAAATTTTTTTATTAATTAAAAAATAAAATTTTTATTAATTTTTTATTTTTTAAGGAAATTATTGCATATAATAAAAGAGTAAAAAACTATGATCCTGAAGAAGTTGGACCTGTATAAGTTTTTAAATCTATTAAAAAAGAAGGGACAATGTATTTTGCCCTAAGACAAGCACTCGCCAATTAAAAATGTATAACAATTTTATTAATAGTTTAGTATTGTCAATTGTTGTATATATTATGTACACTGTTGGCATTAACAAATCTGAAAAAAAATTATAAGCTACCATATTTGGTTATAATTATTTTTCAAATAGTATTTGAAAGCAATTATTCTACATTTATTTTGTAATTGGATATTATTTTTTGTGAATAAGGTGTGCTAATATATTTACAAATGATACCTAATACAAGTAATAATATTAATATCAATAGTAATAATAATGAAAATGATAATGAAAAGTATGATGCTGATAATAATAATAATAATATTATTATTATTATTAAAAAATAATAATGATAATCTATATTGCTATTAAATATGTTATACACAATTGAAGCACAATAGCAAATAAAAGTCAAGCAGAGTGAGCTTTGTACAGTGCACTTTTCTTGTCTAATTATGCATTATTCATGTTTATAATGATAAAATTAGATATCAGGGACTATTTATATCTAAAACCCTGTATAGAACACATATTCCATGTATTTTGTTCTTTTTCCAATAAAGATAAAATCATTTAAAGCATTTATAATCCTTAAATTCTTGTTTTATTTTTTAAACATTATTTTTCAAATTTTATTAAAATTGTGAAAAGGTATAATTAATATAATTTTTCATTAGAAATTAATTTATTTGATTATTTCATTCTTTTTTTGTAAAATTACACACCAATTTCCTTGATCATAATATGCTTCATTTATTGTAAAATTTGGTATTTCTAAACATAATTGCGACAATTCATTTTCTTCAAATACATGATAATATCTAAGGAAATTTCCTCCTCCTTTTCTTTTCCATGGAACAAGCATGTCATTGCAAATAAATTTTGTACGATTTTCATGTATTGGTAATGTTACACCATATTCTGTTAACTTTTGCGTGTATGAAATATTATCTTCTTTTTTAATTAAATTATATCGCAAATAAGCTGTTTGGATAGAATCTTTTTCTTGTTCTTTTGCCCACACATAAATTAAACATTTTCCATTTGGTCTAAGAATTCTTGCTAATTCAAAAATTGCTTGTTTCCGTCGTTCATGAGTTGAAAGATGATGAATTACAGCTATACATATTATTGCATCCATACTATTATCTTTATAGGGTAAATATAAACAGTCACATAGGAATATTTCAAAATTTTTATTCCGACATATTTTCATTAAATTATAACTTCTATCACATCCAACCTATATTATTAAAAGTTTTTATTTTATATATTATTATATTATATACAATTATAGAATGAATAATTCATACCTTAAATAAATGTTTATCTTGATAGAGATATTTACCATTTCCGCATCCTACATCTAATAAAATATCACCTACTTTTAAAGATTGAAGAAATTTTGATACATTGGGCCATTGTTTATGTCTTGTTTCATCAAAATGATTTGAAATTTTGTCATAAACCTATATGAAAATTTATTAAATATAAATAAAATCATATGATATGAATAAAAGATATTTTATAATACATACATCATGTACATAAGAGGTTTCTATTCCTAGTGCTATTTTATTATCAATAATAGTAATAGAATTATTTTGTTTTGTATCACAATATTCAGGAAAGTTACAACAACAATCACCCCTGTGAACTTTTCGAAATGTAAATGATACTCTGGTTCCCCGTGATTGAGTTGTTATTCCATTTGAAGTTTGTACTATATCATTATGTCTAGGACAAATTCCATGTGACCATGCATAACGAGCTTCTCCTGACATAATTAATAATGAACGTGGAGGTAAAAAAAGAGAAGCTTTTTTATTTTCCTTTTTAAAATTCATTATGCATGCTGAACCTAATGATAGTGATAATATACTATCCTCAAAAACACTATGTGTATCAATATGAGATGGAATACCTTATAATATAAAATATAAAATATTAAAATATGAAAATATGAAAATATGAAAATATAAAATATTATAATTCTAATTATACTTTAATTATACTTTTTTTTGAAAAGATTAATATTAATCATTAAAAGTTAAAATTTACCTTGACCAGGTAAATAATGATTAATTGTCAGTTGATCGTATTCATATGAAACATCATGATATTGTTTAAATAATGTTTGTAAAAATTGATAATTTTTAGGTATAGGTATAATAGGCTTATCCAGATCTACTTTATTTGTATCATATTGAAATTCATATCCAAAATGTTTAACTTTTCTATGTTTTAAGTCAGATGATCCTAAAATTTAAATAAAAAACAAATTTATATTTAATAATTAAATTATTAAATTATTAAATTTAATTATTAATTATTTAATTTAATTTTTATTATTTAATTTCTAACATAACATTTTTTTTATATAAAAACAAGATTTTTATTACCTTCATTATTCCAAGTAATTGTACTTAATAACATTTTTTCTTCTTCTTCAGTTATAAAATCTTTAATTAATTTAATACCAGAAGGTAGATTTGAAGACCATTCACAATTTAAATCAGGAACTAAAACAAAAATATAATATCAAAATATTGAAAATCTTTTTTTATTTCTTTATCTGTAGATGAATATGTTATATTTTCATTAATATTTAAAATTAAAATATATTCTATATATTCTATATATTTTAATGTAAATTAAATACCTGATTCTGTAAATGTTGTATACAATGGTGTATTTTGTCCATTAATTTTAATGTTACCATGAATTTTGTTATGTATATATATAGCATCTTCTATTGAATAAAATTTAATGAAACAATATGACTTATTTGGTAACATTATTAAATCATATTTATTAACAAATAGATTTATCACATCTTGTAATGTTTTTCTTTGTAATCCAGTTACTAATCCAGCATTGCAAATCATTATATACTATAATAAAGTAAAATGATAAAGTAAAATATTTCCAATGTTTTTATAAATAAGTCTCATAAATAAATATTAACCTGTGTAGGATTATTACAACATTTAATGTTCATATCTCTAAGAAGCCTATGATATGCTCGTTTTTGTTTACGATAACTTTTTTTAGTTAATTTATCTTCCATTTTTTAATCTTTTTTATTAATTTGTTAAATTAAATAGAGACAAAATATAGAATATATTAACCCTAATTAAATTTAGTTTTATATGTATAATATAGTTTTATATATATATGTATCGGAAAGAACAGCACTTGCTTACATATTTATCATTTTAATATCACTTTCAACATTATCGATTGAATAAAATATACCATAGAATAAAATTCCAATATTAATATATCCAAAAATATGTATACCAATTATAATTTCACATGTATGCAGATTATAAGTACACGATATATCTTATAAATAATTTTCATTTTTAAAAAAATTATAGAAAACTTTTATATATCATCTTTTCTTAGGTTATTATTCTAATATAAAATTGAACTCTTTCATAACAAAAAATTTTAATCTAGATTTATAATTTTATATTAGGAGAATAAAATTGAAAAAAAAGTGATATACAAAATTTGTCTCGATTTGATACGAAATATAGAAATATAAAGTATTTTTTGCTATAAGTTTAACAAAAAAAAAACAAATTAAAACTTAGATAGTAATGCCATCTCATGTTTGGATATTAGAAATTTCTTTAGATTTTTTATTAGTATAGCAGAATATGCAAGGAGATATTTATGTCACAGAGAACGTTATGCGAGAATTATAAAGAAAACTATTATTTTAATTATTAGTTAATAATTAATTTATTAAAAATTTTTGTATTTTAAAGCATTTTAAAACTGAAATCTCAAAGAAGTTTCTTATAATTTTAATTTGAAATTTTTGCTAATTAATTATTTATTATTTATTATTTATTATTTATTAGTAATAAATTAATTGTTAAAATTAATACGAAACTTTTTTAAGATCTTAATTTTAAAATATAAATAAAATATAAATATTTTTCCAAACATTTTTAATAGAAAATTATTTATTAATTAATTTCTAGCAATATAGCAATATAGCGTGATAGGAAGTATTAGAAACTATATAATCAAAAATATAATGTGGCACATTTTCTTTATCTTTCTCGTACTGTTACTCTCCTCTATGATGTTATAAATACCTTCTTATACACTGTATTTAATACCAAGTCAGAGCTTCTAGTATTCATCCGTGAGATGGCGTCACTAAATTTTTCTATTTTCTTCTTCTAATATATATTCATATTTTTATGATAAAAATATTTGAAAAATAAATGTAAATGTATAAAGTAGGGAACTTACAAAAATCAAGGAAAACAGAAAAAAAGAATTTCTTGGAAGAAAAAAGAAAAAAATAAAAAATATAACGATAAAAATTACATGCGATATATATTAAAATACAAAAATATATATAAAATATAATACGATATATATGAAAAAAGAAATGTATATAAAATATATTACGATATATAATGATAACGTATATATATTTATATATAAACATTTTAATACACGTAATATAGAGATATTCAATTTATAATATAATATAATATAAAAAAAGGAAAAAATAAAAAATATCAAGATTTTTATTGATATAAATTGATTTCTGGTCAAATTGATCATGATCATATCGCACATAAAATCGCGAAAAAAACTTTTTAAAAAAATTATTGCTTCATCCATTACACTTTTATTTATCAATGAAATTTCTCCATAAGAGCGTTACTCAGATCATGTTCTATCCACATTCACCGAAGATGGTACAGGTCGATGCTGAACCAACAATGTCGCGTACGAACATGATCGCGCGATCCATGGTTCACCATTTCCTCGGCGGATGAAGTGAAAGCCATGATCGAGGCTGGAGTAGAATGTAAAGAAGTCTGTGCGATTCGAGAGAGGGAAACCGCTTTGCTGTCCAGTTACTCCAAGGCAAGCTGAAAGGAATGTTGAGCGGTGTGCATCGCAACGCCAACGAGTTCTCTCACACTGAACATCTCTAATCAACGTCAACATCAACGGTGACGCGCCATTGGTAAGTAAACAACCCTCTTCTTGCGCTTCAATCCATTTTGCTCCCCGCTATTCCGGACAGTAGTCTCTCGGCAACCCTCGTTACGAAGTCTATATAACCATTTGCTTTTGATACTTTTATATAATCGATTTTTTCAAAATCGTTTCCTGATTCAAGAAATCGTTGAGATTTTAATTCAGATTCGAGAAATTTATACTTGATTTCGCATTAGAAATTTAATCAACTTTTTCGAATTGCACTTTTAAATCTCTTCCAGGGGAGACGTTATGAAAGAATATTGTTTTGAATTTTAATTGTAATAATTTAATAAATAATTGAACTTTATCATTGATAAAGCATGATTATAGATTATTTATAGATTATATTTTAGATATGTTTAAATATTTTTAATTATTTAAAATACTTGATAATTTTTTTATGTTTTTATATAAAATTTGTAGAAATATATTTTTGAAAAGTATAATATTTAATTGAATAATAATGATATTTATTGTGAATCTATTAAGAATAAGAATTAATGGACAATACTGTATAATAAATTTCAAAATAATTTAGTAAATTAATTCGTAAATTTTTTTATGAACAAAAACGTTAATAGAACGGCAATTTACGATTATTCTCTTCTTGAAATGTATCATTTCGATATTTGTTACATAGAGAAAGTGCTGTTGTTATTAGCAAAAAATATTCATCGAATTATATTATTTTCTTCAAATATAAAATATAACTTATAAAAATTTATAAAAAGTTTAATGAAATTCACATTAAATTTTATTTAGATTGACTTTTTAATGTTAATTCGCATTAAGTGAAAGCATATATATTTTTTATGATACTATTTAAATTCGAAATATTTTTAAAAATAATAATAATAATATTTTTTCATGTATTAATAATTTTAAGCATCTTTGAATAAATATGCGCTCAAATATTTTTCAATCTATTTGCAAATATTTAGATACATATCGGTAGAAAAAGAGATCCTGTTATAATGGAATAAATCTTCTTTTCAATACTAAATTGTAACATGTTTTTTGAAATGTTTAATTGTATTTTTAAAATTTTTTTAATTACATATTACACACGAAAGTACAATTATTCTACAAAACCATTAAATTTAGGATTAAAAGTTTTTTAAAGAAAACGATAGAAATAAATTTTTCTTACTTAAAAGATAGTAATTTATAAATATATTCTATAATAATTTTATATTAATAATTTATATAATACATATCATGATTGTGTTAAAAAATTTACATGTCTATCTTCCAATATTTCATCGCGATGATTTTCATAATAATACCATAATAAAAATGAAATATAATTACAGATTATTTATGATAGAAAAGTATATGATCATTAAATTAAATAGTTTTATGTAACGGTCGTGATATAATATCGTTTAATAACTAATTGCTCGATTATGAAAAATGTATTATAGAAATTTCTTTTCGAGCAATCTTTTTCTATCCTTGCATTCCCATTATATATATTTTTTTTACATATATATATATATATATTTTTTTTTTTTTAAATTGAAAATTATAATATGAAAATTAGAAGGATCGTAAAAAAAAGTATTAAAATAAAAAGAAATTAAATTTCCCACGTTTCATCTTCGCAATATAAATATATAATTGTTTTTTTTTTTAACCTATGAATCATCGATGAATGCATTTATGAATATAAATTAGAGATTATATCATTGATATTTTTCTAGCATTGCCCTTGTTCATTAATTGTACCATGATATACCGTATTCTAGAAAGAAATTTAGGAAAATATATTTAATTTAATATATTTTATATTTTTGTACTATTTTCTAATATTTTTTTAATTTTTATTATGACAGTTACGCGCGCGCGCGCGCGCGTATGTGTGTGTGTGTATATATCGTTTTTTTAAAATTGAACTTATATACTTTTTGTACGAATAGATGCAGTTTTTCATCTTCTAAAATAGTGGCATTAAATTATTTAAAATTTATATAATTAACTATATAATTTTTATTAATAATTATTAAGAGTAATTACAATTTGAAATTTGCAAATTATTTTCGTTAATAATAAAAATATGATATAATAGTAATAATAAAAAAAAATATTATTTGAAAAATATTATTGTAAAATAATATTGTAAAATATCGTATTAATATTTTGATTATACATATAATGAATATTTAAATAATCCTTCTATATATTTTAAAACTTTTTCATTCTTTTTTTTCACGTTGCATGACACACCTTTTTCCGTATTCTTTTATGGTTTTAGCAAAAAGACTTTATCAAAGTTTGTTTCAATACTTAAAAAGAAAAATTAGTGTTAATTTATGAACTCCTTTAAATCTTTCGTTTATTTTTTTTTTTTTATTCTCATTCCATTTACGACATATGAAATATTTTCCACTTAGAAAGTGTTGTAAACGATCAAAATTGATGATAATGTCCAAATAATGTCCGGATATTCATGCAATCTTTTATTTCATTATTACAAAAATAAAATATAAACGACAAAATGGAACACTTAAGCAAAGACTTATTTTAATCTCTCAATATTATCTGATAAATATTTTACATTGGATATTATATTTGACATATTTTTACATATTATGCATTTCCTATTAATCTTTATTGTTTTATATTCGATTCGAAAAAATTCTAATGAAATGATCAAATTTTTTAACTAGTTTTGCCAATTAACTCAGAGTTTTCAGGTACGGAAGGTGTAACTACGGTTTGCTTATCTTTCTGTATATCTATCACACCAAGCGTGTTCAACGAAATCCAAGTGAAAGTACATCACAATTTGTGCGAACGTGTGTATAGCTAGCACGTGCTTACGTTCCTTATTATAATTGGGGCATCGTTTACATTGCGTTACGTTACACTATTCTGCGATTCCATATTACGAAATGAAACTCAGGGATTTAGTTGAAATTAGCATTATAGAAATATGTTTTTTGCCAATTAATATTTCTTATATATAAATATGAATACTGACGAATGAACAGACAAATTCTATTTTTTTCTTTTTGCGAGTTTCTTCGACTATGTCATATTGTA